TTTGCATATAAAGCACCGAAACAAGTATCCCAATCACAAAAAGAAGTATCTGAATCACAAAAAGTAGCACAATACGTATATACGTTAGAGAACTAATATCTAGCATATAATATGGACATAGAGAATCGCAACTAATACATCATGCACAAGAACTGATATCTAACACACAACACCGAATAGTGCATTTGCGTTACATAATAGTGCAGTAGTGATTATTACGGATGCATATGAGTGAGCAAAATATGCACATGTTAAGACGTAAAGTATGTTGAACATATGAAAACCATGAATGTGCAACTATTATGGAGAAAGTTAAATACAAGTGTAAATGTGCATTTAAATGACATAGTAGTGCGAGTAGGGCTTGATTTTTTAATAATAAGTGAGATAGTAGTTGTAATCACTTGCACCAGATTGTTGTAATAGTGATTAAGATATTATGAATTATGATAATTACATTGGAGCAATATAAAATTGATGTAGTAGTGATTAAATAAAACGAAAATTAATACTCCGATATAGAAGAAGCAAAAAAAAGAACGATAAACATTAAATGAAGAACAAAGATCGATGAAGCAAAAAAAAGGAATGAAATTATAAATAATAAAAAAACAAAGATAAAGCAACAATTTCTATCATTGCGCAAGTAAAGTCACGTGAAAATATAAAATTCAATATTTAATAGGAATTGGAATTTAAGTAAAATTGCGTGAGATATGCGTTTTAGTAAAATGGATGCACGTATTAACGTAACTGACATCTTCCGTTACAAAAATGCCCATTTGTGTTATACGAAAATGCCCTTTAATTGATCGCAGATGAATATGATATTTGGATGGTTGTGATTTGTTCTCACTTCTCACATTAAGGAGTGTTCTCATTTGAACCAAAATCTATATATATATATATATATATATATATATATATATATATATATATATAAGAGGAACTTTTTAAGAGCATTCAAAACGCCACATAATCCCTCCATGTCATTATATATATTAATTATTTAATTAATTTGTACCTTCTATTTTTATTAGCTAGATTCTATTCTTAATTGCATATTGATATGGAAACAAAAATCCGTAGAAAGTACTATATTAAACAGGCTCTATTTTAGGCTAAGTTTATATATGACAGGTATTCTTAGCCAAAAATACAAAACGTTTTAATTTCTATAACAATTAAATGTTATACTATACGTTTAGGCTTAGAATTATGTGTTAGAATTATACGTTTTGATTCCATTATAACAATTAAATGTTATCGTATACGTTTATACGTTTAGGCTTACAATTTAAAAAAACAGGCTCTGTATTTAGACTATTTTACTTAATATATACTCCGTATTAAATTTCTATGAATATCCATCTTCGTAAGATTATATTAAACGTTTAAAATCGGGTTCATAGCAATTATATTTACTCAAGATACTTATGTAGAAGATCAATTTAACTATTTTTCATATAATCTTTATATGGCTTCACAAATGGAATATATTTTAAATTTTTTTTCATGATTCCACTCATTTAGCTCATTCAGTCATAATTTAATCAATTTGAGTAAAATAAGTTAATTCAATTTATTTTAGTATTATCAAACAGGCTCTATATTAGACTAAGTTTATTTTTCTTTTAAATCACATTACATATGATCCGAAACAAATCAAATTTCAAATTAGCTAAATTACATCTGCCTATGCATCGCACGGGAAGCTAGTATATTGAACACGGGGGAGTCCTGCAACCACGTGGAGCAATATTGAAAGCTAGGTGGCTGAAAGAGAATGAATCAATCTACAAACGAGTCAAGTCTTCATGATGTTTTAAATAACATGGTTCTGTGTAGCTATAACGAACAACAACAATACACCATTACCAGAGAAGAAATTGCAAAGTACGTTCTCGAGATGCAAGCCTGCAATGAGAATTCTAGGAAGTAATATAATGTTTCATAGACCCCCACACGTTTAAGAATTCATTTAAATGACAAGTGGATCAAACACACCATTGACAGGCACACAGCAAAAGTATACTGAATAAATTCTTTATTTTTCTAAAAAATACGTGGCCCACTAAGTGAAAAGGTGAAGGTTAGCTGAAAAGAGAAAGTGTACTAATGCATATAATAAAATGGAATGAAGTATATTTTATATAGGGCAGACAATGGGTTCACTAGCTCAGTAGCTCATATATTTAACTATTTTAGGAAGTGATTCGCTAGAATTTCTTCCTTCCCAAATTTGAAGAAAAAAAAAATCAAGGAGAAAGGAGACTTCCCAAATTCCAAAGGAGAAGGAAAACTTCCTAAGGTCCACTACCCCCCAGGTCTGTCCTTTTAAATCAATACCATGAACGAAGAACCCTGGCACATAGCATTTTATTGTAATTTTAATGCCTTCACCCTATTTTAGGAGTTGATTGGCTAGAATTTATATACATGTAATCCCTGTTATTCTACTGCCCTTGCATATATTGATTTAAATAATTCTCGTGACGCAAAGAGCCCCACTAAAAATTGTTTTAGTTCCATTGCCGGCGTCGAGGGAATATTTCACACTACCACATATCAGTACACGCTCCTCTCAGAGATACAGATTTAAGTTAAGAAGCCAATTACACCTTCATAAACTGCAAAATGCATTGCAGAAGGTGCAACTAAAACTGCAGCCATTAAAGTAGTCGGTTCAGCCACTTCTAGTGCCAACAATGGATTAACAGACTGAACTTTTCCCAATTAATGGAATCCTTGGCAGTCGAAGAACTTCTAGTGCCAAGTGCCAACATTGTCTGTGACATGACAATGCAAACTACCGTGCTCAAAGAACTTCTCAGGACAACTTACTTAGACTTTTCAGATCCATTTGGTCCAGAAAAATCATTCCAGTTTCTCATTGTCTCTCAATGGAATTTCTTATTGATTTTGCTCACCTTCACTTTAGTTCACCTCTACAACAAACTTGCCATCCCCTTCAAGAATACAAGGATAGCTGGCACTTTTTATTAGTGTAAATATTCAGCACCAGCTTCAAGTTTTTAAGCTTGAGGGAAAGCTTGATTTTCTAGGAGAAGCCTATCGATGCATACTGTTGGGTTCCTCCTTATTTGAGAAGTTCATGAGAATTCTAGAATACAGCGGACATATCTAGAATTCTCTAGGTGTGTACAGAAGTTTTGAATGTTCTAGAATATTCAAGAGCTTTCTAGAGAGACGTGGAAATGTGGAATTATCTAGAAGCGTGTAGAAGAGTGTAGAATATTCTAGAACATTGTGGAGTTTTCTAGAGAAGTGTGGTATTCTCTAGAATCGTGCGAAAGTGTGTGGAAGCCTCTAAAACATTTTGAAGTAGTGTGAAGTTCTCTAGATCTTGTAGAAGTTTAGAGAAGCTTGTGGATACTTTTTGGAAGAATCTAAAAGTATAGTGATGTATAGAAAGTTCTAGAGAAGCCTTAAAGAGAGTTGTATAAATAGGGTGGGACTCCTCATTCATAAGTGTGAGAGCTTTGAGGGTGAGGCTCCTTAAGTAATGAGAGAGAGAGGCTTGGGGAAGAAAAGAGATGGGCGTAAGAAGAGAAAGATTCGTATAACAGAAAAGAGAGAGAGAAATACTAAGGCAGTTAAAGTGTGCCAACTCTCCTTGTCCCAATCCAACAAAATAATACCAGCCTCCCTAACTAAACATAACACCTCCTATTTATAATAGCCAACTCCCGCTCCCATATACAAACAATCTAATTATTTATTAGTCCCATATCCCCTTCTATTTTATGCTTTCTCATAATAGGTAATGGCCGTACTGCTATCTTTAAGAGTAGGCTGTTGCCTTGATCTCTATCAATAGAATACCGACAATATAAAGTTTATCTTTAAATAGTTAGATAGATGGCTGATATGTGTAAGAATACAAGGGAGAGGGTTTGAGTGGACGACCTCTGTGTGTATTCTATTGGGTCATATAGCCGATAACGTTTTACTATTACAGCTTGGTTTTTTTGTTATAATTATTTGTGTATTTAAAGCAAACATACTTACTTTTGACAAGTGTATGTGGTCAAGATAATAATGTCAACATACCAAGAAGATTATCCATGAATTCAGGTACTTGAAGCAGCTTGTCTTGTTCTGTGACGTGCAAAAGTGGACACAGCCACCATGTCTCTCGAGTCTCAACTGAACCCAAACAACCACCTCAAGAGAGAATCATTTCGTGTCCCAGCTGGAAGTATCTCCATTGGTGGGGGTGAAACAAAGTCTTGCCTGTCTGTGGCATTTCAAACTTAACCCACAGTACCATCTGCTCCACAAACTAGAATTCTGAAGTGCTCATTTCTGAACAAAAAGAGCTCAGTGTCCGGACTCTGCGTTGAGCTCAACTCAAGCACTTAACAACCAAAAGTTATGCAATGTCAGAAGTCAGAACTAGTAGCTAAGTAACAAGGAAACGAGAAATGCAATTTGGCATTTAAAAAAATAAAGGATGTCAAACATGTTTGGGAAGAAGGAAGTACAAAAGGTAAATCTTATTTGCAGCGCGGTGTCCAAAACACCCACTTCGAACTTCGAAGAGAAACATGTTTCTTAGTTTAAAAAAGTTATTGAATGGACCCAAAACTCATTTCTGCCATTTCCTGAGATTTCATCAAACGTTAAAGCCTTAAAAGATTTCTGAAACAGCCAAACTCATCCATCAGAGTAGAATTGTGCATCCTACATAGGTAGGTAGTGAGAATAAAGTATATATAGGTGACTCAAATATATCTGGGAATGGAGATATCTGCTACCCATCTATTGTATCGAGAGAAGTAAAAGAAATGCAAACAGAAGTAGTAAACTAATACCGCTGACCTCGAGATCCTGCGCTGTCAAATCCCACTATGTAGGACACATGGATTCGGTATGCTCTTTAAGGAAATACCGATGTTGGCTAATTTGCAATATTAATTTTTCTAAAATATATGTGGCCCACTAAGTGAAAAGGTAAAGGTTAGCTAAAAGGATATTGTGGATAAGAAAATGGAATGGAGTATTAAGTTTAGAGAACCAAAAGTGAAAAATCTCAAATAACTAACGTGTATGTATTGACTACAAACGAGTAAAGTCTTCATGCTGTCTTTAATAGGATGGTTCTGTATAGCTATAACGGACACCAATACACCATTACCAGAGAAGAAATTGCAAAATAAGTTCTCGAGGTGCAAGCCTGCAATGAGAATGTAGGAAGTAATATAATGTTTCATTTAAATCTCAATAACTATTGTGTATGTATTGACATTCTGCTTAGTTAGGGGCTAGAATATGATAATCACTACTCCCAAACATTCCAAAGGGAAGTTTGAGACCAACAACTGTTGCAATAAAGGAGAACCAAGAGACCATATATCTATGAACAGCCACTCATCCAAGTACAAATGCAGATGTGTCCCTAGTAAAAAGAATCTTTATCCACTCACTAGTCCCACATGGATGTAGTGAGAACCAAGGCTGATTCCGGTATGGGTGCTCCTCCTGTGTTATAATGGTCCATTTGTGTACTGCCAGTTCCTGCCTTGTGCTTCCAGGGATGTTCTTTTCCAGCTCTTGCAATGCCAAAGGTTGCACAGGAACCCTATAAGATAAGCAGTAAACAATGTGAAAGTCATAGCGGCACCTTTCGCATCTCTGAGCTTGAACCAATGCAGCACTATCAACAATGTCATCTTCCTCCAAGCAACCTGTCTCTTTTATTACATTGTCGTCATATTCATGATTATCTTCCACAGTAGAACCAGGAGGTGGAAATGTGGAATTACACACCCCACGCAGAGATAACCGCCTACTCCAGTGGAACAAACCCCAAGAAGCTTTGGACATCTGCACCATGACCATTGAGGAAAAGCAGGGTCAAACTTCTTCCATTGCTCACTAAATGCACAGGCACCAATGTAGAACTCTCTAGATGAAATGCTCCCATCTCAGGACCCTTTATCAAATACTCATTTCTGGTGACATTACAGTCTGAACACAGACTCGGACAGCCAATTTAGTACACTAATAAATATCTTCTTCCTTGAGCTAGTTGCGATTCCTTGAGTTGGAGAAAGATGATCTCAGATAAACTTGCAGTTGAGATCCGTGTACTGGAGTGAATTGTTTGTCCCTATTTCATTCAACAATCATATAAACGATATAGAGTAGAGAAGAAAATAGCTTTGATTCAATACCAACAATGATCGAGAATTGTAGAACAGAGTATCGAGAATGCAAAGTATCGGCTCTCTCTCTCACTAGAATGATATATGCGCTGAATAATCTGTAAAAGCCTCTCTCGCACATTCCCTTAAAGGCAATATTTATATGCCTAGGGAATGTGTGATGTGACCTAAGCATGATTGGGCTCTTTTAATGATTGGGCCCAATAACACACTTTACACACTTCCTAAGAAAGCTAGTCTAATAATAGTTGAAATATCTAGACAAAATAGCTACACAAATACAAAGATATTTATCAGGATTGGACACCAGAAAAAGTCCTAACAATCTCCCCCTTGGTGTTCAATCATGTTCAATCAGCATTGTAGCGTGAATATCTTTGTCTTTGTGTTTATTCAGCAATGTAGAGGAGAGCGTAGATAAGATTGGTTGAGTTGCTCCTCTTTTGTCTTGATCTTCAGTGCAGCTCAGCTTCCTTTGTCTTTGTGTTAAACTCAGCTTCTAAAGAAGGGTTTTTGAAGAAATCCTTTCAATCTCCCCTTTGATGTCTTCATGGCAATTTGTTCTTTGATGTCAGGGAGTTGAAGAATCTCCAGTATCTTGCATGTAGTCCTTGCCTTCCAAAAGTTGCTCTTGATCAGCTTGAATGAATTCTGATGGCGCCTTTGAAGCATGTGTTCGGTTGATTTCCAGGCGCGCATGGGATTCATCTTCAAATTTGATTACCCGACCTTTGTCTCCTCCGTTGTGTAGGTGACACAGCGGAAAAAGATATATTTTGAGGAGATCTCGTCGGTGGCACAGCGGAAAGAGATGGTTAACTTCTGAGTTTAGCTGACCATTTGATTTGAAGCTGTCTTGGCATTTCTGATGATTTGAGAGAATAGAGAGCCGTTGTTGATTTTTGTGATGGAGGAGAGATGTGTCCAAAAATGATTTGTTGATAGTGAATAACATGTGGACCACTCTCCCCCTCATGACGATCCGATGATTCGGGGCGTCATGCCTTTATTCTTTTATTCTGGAAAACAAAAACGAAAAAGAAAAATAAGATAAAAACCGGATACACCATAGTGTTCCGTTATCACAACATCAATGTAAACACCGATGTATGGCCTGTGTAAAATAATAGAAGCAATAAAGTTCTAACAGGACTTCCAACCAGTCATTGTGAAGCATCTGAAGTAGATGTCACTCTAGTTGTTATGGCATAATCATAAAGATCAGCAAAGAAAGTGGTAGCCCCCCGAGGTCGCGTAGACACCCGTTATCATCACTATAGAGATAAACTCTAGAGCGATGGCCTGAACATGTTGGTGATTTCTATGTTGCAACAGCAGGACTTCCTTCCAATCATTGGTCTACATCTAAAGTAGATGAGTCCTATGGAAGTTCTCGCGGGTCATGAAGGCCTGCAACTGACTCTAAAAAGTGTCTGTGTCCTAAAAAATTCAAAACATTTGGGAGTGAGATAACTAGACACGACGTGATCAATGAAAGTTCAGTGGCATGGGGCTGAGGCCACTGTAGTCAGTATCACTTGCCTCGGAAGGAGACAATAATAAAAGATGAGGTTCCCCGTGAAATATGATTAAGCACTTGTCTGTTGGGAGACAAGTGAGTGGTCTAGGGTAGGGTTGTGCATGCGCCGTTTGGACAGAATGCAGCGACTTCTACCCGGGATCTGAATAAATTCAGTCCTGAACCTATGGGGAATTGTCCGGATTATTTGAGTGACTGGGAGTAATTTTCTCAATTGAAAGCACAATTGAGGTAGCAGACATGTCATTGATTATTGTTTTCTCGCTCACATGAGCTTTCTGCTTCCTCACTCTCATAGTGTTCACTCAGTTACCCACTCACTCTCGGCTTTGCCCCTTGGGTAGGCTTAGTTGGGTTTACTAAGCCATTGGGACTTGTCTCTCATTTCTCTTTGCTCTTTTCTCTTTGTACTCCCCCTCAACTGTAGCACTCAGTAGGATGCCTTTGATGATAAATGGCGCTTGGGAGGAGAACATTGAAAACTCCCCCTCAAAATCTGCATCCTCGAGAGAATTCTTGCATTTAGCTTGGTTGTTTGAGGGTTCAGGTTGGGGTTATTGGCTAGATGAAGCACCATGCTCGAGTATCCGTTGCCTCTTATTCTCCCCCTCATGAGGAGCCGAATCATCGGGGTCCTCATGCGAACGTTTGTGGCCGCGGAGACTGTCATTGCATGTGCTTTCGGTTTCAAGTACCACAAGAAGAGCTCTTTGTTTGTCAGTGAGTGGAGCTTCTTTGATTTCCAGAATTCTCGCTAGCATAATGGATGCTAGGTCATCGAATGGCATGGTAAATGGGATAGGGTAAGGATTGGGGTGAGTTGCTGTTGGGAGTGGGAGGATGAGGGTTGAGTTAGAGTTTGGATGATGTCATTACGAAGCACCGGGGTGGTCCTGAATTCCTGTGTCTAAGCGGTTATTGCTTCGTACACCCATGGCTTAATGGTGGAATCCAAGAAACGCTGCAGAATGACAAGAAGGTCGGTAGGGTCAAGCTGTCCGGTTACAGGGGTAGTAACCGTTGTCACAACATCGGTAAAGATAACCGGTGTGTGGCCTGCATATAATGATTGAGTTATCTGTTGAGCAGCAGGACTTCCGATCATCATTGAAGTATCTCCGATCGTTGTTGACAGGTAGAGTGGACCTGTAGAGTGCGGTGGTGTGAAAAGTGTATGTGTCCTAGAAAAATTAGAAGATATATGGAGGGTGACACCTAGACACAACGTGGTAGAAGGAGGGGTAGTGACCTGGGGCTGGTGGTCACTATAGATATCCTCGACTGCTCCGAAAGGGGACAGAGAGTGGGTATGAGATCCCCTAATATTGAAACTACTACCTGTTGGGAGGCAGCAGAGTGGCTAGGGGAGGCTTGTGTATGCGCAGTTGGGCTCGATGCTGCGTCTTCTACCCGGAGACTGAAAAGATCAGTCTCTGTGCCTATGGGGTTAGCCCAGTTTGTAATATCTAGGTTTCTTCTGCTAGGCTTCTTGATGTTTGCACTCTTTGTGTAGGAGTGAGTGATGAAGAGAGGACATCATGATGTTGTTTAGAGCGAGTCTCACTGGTAATATGTCCTTGAGTATTCTTTCTCAAGTAAGACTCCCCTTCATCTGCAGCCGTAGGAAGCTTGATATTGAATCAACATTTTTGTACCTGAGCTTTCCTGGCTTTCTTTGCGTTGTTGTCCGCATGATTGTCGTCCTCACCACCCTTCTTGTTGTCGCTCTTTTCAGCCTTGCTCCCAGAGCCCTCATCGTCAGCGTTTTGTAGTCTGGCTGCGCTAGACGAGTCATAGGTAGTCTCCTCAGCAACTCGGGGCTGGCCCTCAGCAGACATAGTCTGATCATCATGGGGCCGGACTGCCACTGGTCTATGTGGTTGGGTTGAACTCTCAGGACCCTCACTTGCTCTCGGCTGACTCTCTTGGGTAGGCTCAGGGGGGTTTATCTGAGCCATAGGGAGTATAATGTTATTCTTCTGGCAGTAACGTCGGACAGATGGATCATTCGGATCAGCTAATGACGTTCTCCGTTGATAGTCTTCAGTGGATGGATGGAGTTGTTTTGGAGAAGCATCGCACCAGTAGTGAAAATCATTTGAAATATGGTAGATGTTTGATTTGATTGGTCCTTTTCCTCTTTCTGATCATTTCAAGATTGTTGTCCCAGATCAGCGAGACGTAGTCATAATTTTTCATGAATGTCACGCCTTGGAAGACAGTTAAAAGGTAGATGCTGCATTTGTCGAAGCTTGTGTGTTTTGGCGGTGCAGTATTTGTTCAGTGCAACCATCAATGTCCTCCATGGTCTGGGTAGTCTTCCTAGCTTGACTTCAGAGAAGAGCCTGATAGGTTGAGCGTGGCCCAGTGTGATCATGTCTTCCATGATATCTTCTTCGGTGGCCAGCTCATCATATTCATCCTGCTCAAGGATTTGCGGCAATTTGTGCATCAGTTCTTTTGTGATTATGACCTTTGTGTCCTTGATAGTGGCGGTCAGCACGTCATCAATTTCGTCGCCATTTTCATCTTTTTCCTTGTCAAGTGTTCCCCAAAACTGTTGGAGATACACTTCAGGCACTTTTGCTGACTCGCTCATGGCTTTCTTGGGTTGTTTTGCGTTGATCCTTGATTGGCGCCAGGAGGAGAAAAATGTAACTCCCCCTCAGAATGAGCAAGGTGTTGTTGATCACCCGGGGAGTAAAGTAGAAGACTCCCCCTTGGAATGTGCTTTCTTCGTTGTTAGGCACCAGGAGGAGTGAAAAAGAAACACTCCCCCTCAGAATAAGCACTTGTTATTTGTTCTTGTCATGTGTCAGTGTTGAGGTGTGCATTTGTTGATTTTTCAGCTCAGTGAGGAGTATACACGCCTATACTCCTTTTGATAATGTGCACCAGTTGATTGCTCACAGCTCGTCTTCATACCCGCCATGCGTGTGGAGCAATCAGTTCAGTTACCACACATGACAGACCTGCAAAAGGTTAAGAAACCTTTGGTACCCATTTCAGGGTGGGTCCATCCCTTTTAGCACAAAAGAAATTTTGAAATTTTTGCTTTATTTTAGTTCCTAAACCAGTCTCTTTTGAAGCTTTTGGAGAGCTATATGACTGGGATTCTGATTTAGGAACCCATTTTTGAGTTATTGCAGGTGTATGAGAATTTTCAGCGCTGGTGAATGATGGAACAGATTTCCGAGAAGTAAAGATTTTCTCCCTTGATAACCGTTTCAGGTGTTTAGCTGAATAAACCTTGAGGGGATAAGTCAGGCAAACACCATCACAAACAGTATAGGTTGAAGCTTCAAATCTTTTCTTTTTCGATTTGCCATCATCTTTCTCTATACAAAAGAGAGTGGAAAAGCAAGCAAAATTCCCGCCTAAAGTCACGGGTCACAAAATGGGTCGGGTACTGTGCAACTCTAATTAAATGTTGGGCTGATGGTCGGGTAGATCGGGTACGGTGCAAACAGCTTTGATAAATGTTGGTCAATGTTTGCATTTAATGCCAACCTTACTGATTGGCTGATTAAATTGTGAGATCTTTAGTCTCTGATTTTCAACCGAACA